TGCTGCGGGTCGCCGCTGGCGGCCAGCCTGGGCTGCAGCGCCAGCAGCGCCTTGCCGAACAACGTCTCGTCCCACAGCCAGGCCTTGCGCTGCTTCGAGGTGCCGGGATCGGGGAAGGCCGATGCCGCTTCGAGATAGTAGGCCCGCAGATCGTCGACGGCTTCCTTGAGCGCCTGTGCCGGGGGCAATTCACCGTTCAATGCGCCTGACAGCAACGCGCCGGCGGCCGGCATGTCGAGACCGGAGACTCCCGTGGTCGTGCGGCCTGTCCTGGCCACGCTCTGATCGTGCCAGGTCGCCAGACGGTCGATCTCGGCGGCCAGCGTGTCGGTCGCCTGGGGTGCCAGGTTGATCGGGCAGGCCCAGCCGGTGAAGTCCGCCTCCTCGGCGACCTCCTCGGGATAGTCGGCGATCAACGGCCCGTCGGTCCGCTCCAGCAATTCGGCGGTGGCGCGCAGTACGCGGCGCTGGAAGTCGGGATCGTCCGGGATGCCGAGCGGCCGGCCGAGCTCGAACGTGACCCAGAGAGCCCGCGGCGGGCGGATGGTCTCGGTGTGCTCGCGCACCAGGCTGATGCTGGCGGTTGGAATGCCCTGACGCTCGAGGAAGTGGCCCAGCGCGCCCACGGCGCGCGTGCAGGCGGGTCAAACCGGGACGAGCAGGGCCGCGTCGACGCCATCCTGCTTCAGCAGGCCGGCGAGATGCTGGGCATGCGGCTCGGCCGCGTCGGGCGGAAACGCGCCCATGAAGGAGTAATGAACCGACGCCATCGAGCCGACGACACCCTCGTCGACCAGTTCGCGCAGCCGGTCGATCGGGAAGGCGACGTTGTGATCCTGCTGGAAGCCGGTGCGGTCGAAGTTCACCGAGATGTGGCTCATCACCAGGTCGTGCGCCGGCGTCTCGGCCGGGATGACGCGATAGCTGCCGTCGCCGGGACGAAACGGCCGGTCGCCGCGCTTGTGAAGCCCGGCCGTCGAGATCAGCGCGACGCGACGCTGGGAAAGGGGTTTGCCGGCGAGAGCCGGCGTGTCGTCGTAGGTCGGGCATTCGATGCGCCGGAGATGATTGGCTTCGACTTCCGGCATGTCGTTGAGACGCTTCACCATGGCTGTGAAC